CTGTATTTTTCCCCTTCAAAGACTAAAGACAACAAAATAGTTTTTCGTCAGCGATAATTTTCATCTCGGATATGTTTGTTGTTCATACGTGCTATATATATACTCGTGGAATTAACATGAGGAGAGGCTGAATTTCAATTTTTTAATAACAGCAATACAAACACTGCCTCTAGTTAGTTTTATGCCCAAGTAAACCTAGCGGATGTCATTATGTGTATAAGCATATCTAATTAAAATCGGATTTTAATCACCACTAACCGTGTTATTATATAAATGACAGCAGCAGTTGCTTGAAATAATAACCTTGATATTAGGGGGGGGATCGACGTAGTCACTGGCCAAACTTGAAATAAGAACCCAATCAATTTGTAACGATATTGGATAAATTGTAGCATCCCGTTGCTTTGAAGCAAATCACTAATCCTAAGTTCGATCGCGATCCAAGCACTTACTAAACTTATCCTAAGGTAGACCATGTCTCTATCAATAATCGAATCGATTCTAAAGTAGATCTGATAGTCATATTGCGTGTAATATTAAAGGAAATTAGGCTGAAATTTGCTTCAATACTTAGCTGCCTCAATTAAATCTACTGCTGTAATTGGATTGCTGATTGTAATCTGCTAAGATTGCCAAGGCAATAAACGAACGGAGTAGTTCGATAGATAGTAATAAATGCTTCTTTTTAGTACAGTCATAGGATGGATACAGCTCACGTTAAATATTCGGAACGATAAGTAATATCAAAAGTATTAAGACTAAAATCAAAGTTGAAATAGTCTTCCAATAATGAATGATTCACCACCAATACTCATTTCTGAAGATCAATTTTCTTACGTGGAAATGCATTGATTAAATTACTGGTAATTAGCTTACTTTGGACTAGGCACGGTTGATATTAATGGTAGCAATATCATTGGCATCAAACTCTAGTTTTCTCACTAGAAATATGATTAAATTACAGGTTATTAGCTTTTTGGGGGCTAGACACAGCCGATATCAACGGCAGCAATATCATGGACATCAAACTCCAATTTTCTTACAAGAAATGTAATTAAGATACTAGCAGTTAGCTCTTTTTAGGTTAGGGCTACGCTGATATTAGTGGTAGCAATATCAGCGACATCAAACTTCAGTTTTCTGACAAGAAGTTTGATTAGATTATTGAAATTAGCTTATATCGGGTTACGGTTAGACTAACAATATTACGGACATCAAATCTAATTTTTGACAAAAAATATGATTAAATTATTAGTAATTAACTTGTTTGAGGCTAGGCACGGTTGATATTTACAGTAGCAACATCAGCGACGTCAAACTCAAAATAGCCTCATAATAATATCATTGTCATCCATTGCAACTTTTCGAGATAAAAATGTTCATAAATTACTTGCAATTAACCAAATCTTGAGATAAATGCTATTGATATTAGCTAAAGTAATATCAAAAGAAATAAAACGAATAACACCGATGTACGATTTTAATAGTCACGCAGTAATTATCATCATTACTTCTCAATAAAATAAACTACAGTAATCATCTTTAATCAGTAGTTATTCATCAAAGACAGCAGACCGAAATTAACATGAAATCTATACCGTAGTAAACATAGACTAGAAAAGTTACAGGTCAGAAATACTTACCGTATACAATTGCCTATCTAATTTAATAACGCGATAAAGATATCGATTTTTATCAGAAAGGACTACTTCCCTTCCCTATATTCTCTATACTAAGAATGCTAGCCTTGAAAATTTGTCTCTTTTCTTCTATTTAATCTTTATTTATGAGTCTACATCTTCCCGAATTTATAGTCAAATAATGGTCATTAGATCGCCTACTTCTATCTAATTTCGCACGGAAAATACTCAGCTAGATACTACTCGTACATCAAAATTAATGAGAGTAAAGAGGGAAGGAAAACTTCCTATTGTTAGCGCAAAGCTTCGCGATCTATTTTATAGTTGATACTTTAAGTTTGAGACTTGGCAGACGACAATACTTTAAATTTCAAACTAATCAAGCTAAATTTTGTGTCCTCAACTCTATCGTCTTGTATTACAAGTGTCTCACAAGAACTGTCTTAGTCAATTGATATTTTCTAAAAGGCTTTTTATTACAAGGTTTCAGGAATATTATAGCAATAATTAATTACTACAAGAATCTAGTTTAAAATCTAAAGTATTTCGAGCTCATAGAGAAGTGAAATTTCTTCATCTTTACGTGAGCTTATCTCCATGGTTCTTAAATACATTTCGTAAAATCCATTTATGACAATTTAATTAACTACAATCAGACTTGAGTCATCAAACAGAATAGTTTTCCTCAAATAGAACATCATTATCTTCTACAATTCGAATCACTCTACTTAAGATATCAATACTTTTCTATTAATGTCCAGCGCCTTTCAGTGTTGGGCTTCTTCACAATTACAATATTTCTAGTCACATAAATCTTGTACCATAATTAATCAACTGGCTAATATTAGTCATCAACAATTTCCAATATAGTAGCTATCAATCATCTAATATTAGCTTCACGATAATATCTATTCTTAGTAATCTATCTATATCAAAATATAGCTATTAACACAATCAAATACAGCTATTCATATAATCAAATGCGGGGCACATTACTGCATATCTAAATCCGAACTTCTGTACTACAAATACGCTGCCAATCGACTATCCAATCAAAGTACATAACTCCATTTCTCAACGATTATCAAGTATTACGTTAACTGATGTAAATTATTTTCAATCTGATTTCAATTGATCAACCTATTCAAGAATATGGAGTATTAATTATCTATTTGTTGATTATCCATTTAGTTTTTACCAAAATTTAAACAATTGACAAATAAAAAGTTCTTATTAGATTTCTTAACGATCATCGAGCATTACGCAAACTGATGTCAAATTATTTCAAATCTAATTGCATTTGATCAATTTATTCTAAACTATAGAAAATGATTATCCATTTCGTTTTCTCTAAAATTTAAACAATTCGCTTATAAAAAAGTTCTTGTTAATTCATTGACCTTGTAATAGTTTACACTACAATAATAACGCTCATAGTCCAGCATTGATGGCCAGAATTTCCTTTTTGCTTAAAAATAAGCTAAATACGCTTTTTTTACTATTAAGCTATAATACAAACTATAAATATCACGTATCAATATAGAAAAAACGATCTGCTTGCATAATTGCATCGGGGATCACCCATCGTCAAGACAAAAATTGTGTAAACACCACAACTGAACACCGAAAGCAACTAAAACGAGTAATAATCTAACAAAATCGATTGGTTTCTGCCAAGCATTATACAAACTGAAGTAAGATTTCTCTAAATTTGACCGGATATATTCCCTTCAAGGCTTTCAAAAGATGATCGTCTACTTAATTTCTCTAAAAATTGAAACATAATATTAGTAAACATATAAAAAGTTTCGAAGCACAGTAATAATATCGCTCCTAGTCCTAATTCTATTTACAATTGCTATTCCACAAGCTGTCTCAATTTCTATATACTTATAAAAATAAAAATATCATATTCTAGTTGTCTATAGGGTTAGACCATGTTTAATTTAAATCAGTAACAAGATGAAAAACAGTTTAAGTTACGTGCATAATTACACCACAGATTATCTATCGTCAAATAAAGACCATAAAAATCTCGCAACCGAACAGCGAAAGCGATGTTAACAAGTATTGAATCGAATAAACTTCATTAGCCTGAATCACTATTCCGGAACCGTCGAACAATAGTTCGAGCAAAGGTTTTAGCACTAGCATAAGTGCCCGTTTATCCTATGAGAAATTTGCTTTTACATCGTGTAGATCAATATTGGTCGATCCTTTTGAAACTAGCAACCATCTGCAATTCTAGTTCAATTAATTGGTAATATATTTGCATGATTGCTGCTTAAATGCCTATGAATTTATGTAAAGAACCAATATACTATCATTAGCAAAAATGCCTATTTATCTTAGGAGAAATCTTGCTTTTCATCGACCAGATCAATATATTTCTTTTTTCGAAATTGGAAACTATCTATTATTCTACTTCCACTAATTGGTAATGTATTGGCATAAATGCTACTTAAATGCCTTCAAATTTATATAACGAGCTGATGCTTCATTATTAGTGTAAGTATCCATTTATTTTATGAGAATTTTTACTTTTACATTGATCAGATCAATATTGGACAGTCTCTTTCGAAACTATCAACCATCTACAATTTTAGTTCCATTGATTGGTGATTCACTAGCATAAGCACTGCTTAAATGCTTATGAATTTATGTAACAATTCTTGTGTGCACACAGAATTTCCAACTGATGCTTTTACAAATTTATGAAACTCACATCCATTGTCAATTTCAGTCTGATTGATTGTCAAGCACTAGCATAAATGCAGCTTAAATGCTTATGAACTTATGCAACAAATTGTTGTGCATGGACAGAATTTCTAGCCATTTCTCTTACGAAATGATCTACTGATGATATTACGTTATGGTTCTATTACTTTTCTATTTAATTTTACTAGTTTAAGATATTTTACATGTGTCTTGAGCTATTTTTAATGCTAATAATCAAATATAACATGCAAATAGCCCGTCTTAAATGCCCAACTGTACCTTACCAACACTAAATTTACTATTTTATTTAATATTCCTGCAAACATTCATCAGATTTAAACTCTATTCACACTTTGATTATGGTAGCAAATATATTCTATGTTAATAATATGCAATAATTATGACAAAATTTCGAATAAACCAAACAATATTAGGGTCATTTATTTAGGAAAGAATTAATAATTTCCTAATTTTACCTTGAATTTTCTCGATCGAGAATCACTTCCTATTGCAAAGTACCTTAAAATTTGATCGTGAATTCTACGTGTATTTATATATAAATAGAACATCTTAAAAATATTACCAACTAAGGCCTTGGGATCAACTTCAAGAATCATAATAGCTTTCAATCAAAGTGACGACATGAATACTGAAACAAATCAAGAAGGTAAAAAATGTAAAGTTTTACTAAGCTTATAAATAAGCAGTTTACTTAAACTAATGTCTATTACTTTTCATGACAAACTTTCTCTGATCAGTAATTTTAAAATTGGGTTGAAAATACTTACATATTGTAGATCCGCCGTATGAATATTTTTCAGAGATTTGCGAAAAAATTGGAACTGATTGGAGAAGATTGTCTTGGAAATTAGACCCTAGTATCGATATAGATGCAATTGCTGAAGACTACCATAGAGCTATCGATAGAGCAAGGGCAGTTTTAAATCGCTGGAATCAAGCTCACTCAAGTAATGCAACTTTCGACATACTTGTGGAAGCTCTCGATAGCATTCAAAGAAAAGATATTGCTGATAAAATAAGTAAGATATTAATCTTACATTTTATTTAATATTACAGTAAGTCATAGCTAGCGTTACATCAATAAATTTAATTTATTACCTTAATAATTATGCAATTTACAATACATTAAAGCTAATGAAATTAATAATTGAAAATATTTTTCACACCCAATTTAGTAAAGTCTGTAGTATTTTGAGATAGATAAAGCTGCCACAGCAAATATCAGATCAATAAATTTATCGTCACCATTATCAGATATTCAATTTACTTAGCCTAAAGCTAAAAATTGTTCAGAATTAAATCAGCTGTGCAGAATATTCCATCCATTTAATTTAGTAAAAATGTAATTCTCTAAAAATTAAGCAAGGCCTCCTTAAAGAAACGTATTTAAAATAATACTATTTAGCAAAAATTCCTAGGTATACAATTTCTCTAACCTGCCGTTAAAATTTTAAGCAAATGTCAATAATTAAATTCTACTCTCAATCGGTATACTCAGTAAAGCTCTCATCTAATAAGGTCAATTAATAGTAAATTATTAGATATAGCAACATACTGCAGTAACTATAATTATACCAAACTTTAATTCTAAAGGTAAGAAAATGAAAAGCAATATTTCAATAACCTACTTGTGTTACATTTTAATTTTAAATTAAATCATTTTCATACTTAACATCTTTCAAAAGCACTACCACGAAACAGTGCTTTTTAATTTCGAATTCTTCAATATATGTGCACGTAAGTATTTTCCATTTATAGTTCTACATTTAATGGCTGATTTTTACAGGAACCATTAGGCAGACCAATACCAATAACAGGCCGGCTTCGTCTGGTCAGTTCTATCATGATCATTTCTTGGATGCATCCTTATAATGTTATTGAATTATGTGGACTTTAGGAATCTCTATAGTACCACACATGGAATTGTTTCTAAATAAAATAACTATTAATTTTACTTATACTTTTACAAGCTTGACCACTTTAGACCTTAGCTAATTAAAATATTAATACTTTACATAACTTAAGTAGATTTAAATTTTCAGAAAAACATAAACGCAAAGTAATTTTTTCGTAAATTATTTAAAATTCATATTCAGGATCAAGCCAATTATCGCGACATAATTTATTACGAAACGTACCAGAAACTCCCAGTGCATATTATATCGAACGACAAAGCTATATTCAAAAAATAATTGACTATCTGAAAAGGATTGATAGTAATGAATTAGGTGGTCATATTTTAATTCATGGCATGGCTGGAAGTGGTAAGACTGTTATAGCCAGTCAATCTGTTCGATTAGCCATCTACAATTATGGTCTCTTTCGCTCTGGAGGCGTTTATTGGATAAAAATAGGTCGATAAATTATTTTTGCTACTAAATTCCGATATTCTATTACTACATCTACAGTAAACTACTAAATATTTATAGCACGCCAAATTATTGATATGAGATTACTAAGATACCTTCTAAAACATCTTATTACCCAAAATCCAAATGATTAAGAGATAAGGATTTACCTAGTGTTTAAATGAATTATAATTATAGAAGCTAAATATGAAAAATAATATCGATTATCTTAATTTAGGCAATATAAGGGAAGATGAATTTGTCACCAAATTAAGGAGCCTTTACATACAAATAACAAAAAATATTCAGAATATCTGCCAACTCCCTGATAAAGTGGATGAAATGGTGGCTTGCCTTCAAGCATACCTAGAAGGTTATTACGTACTAAAGTAGAAGTAGTCTTGGTATTAGGATAAACTGTAATAATACTTAATTAATCTAGCTACACTTATAACCTTAAGAAAAACAACATTAACAGACCAGCTTAGCTTAATAATTGATTGGTTTTTTCCATTTTAGGCGATAAAAATATGAAGAAAACTTTATTCATCTTTGACGACGTTGCAAGCAAGCACCACTTTGATAAGCTTAAATTTGCTAAAAATACAATCAGTACTTCTCGATTCAATCATTTTAGAAACAAGCCTACTGACAGCCAACATTATATTCAATTATCGGTTAGTTATAGTTATTAACAAAGACATTAAGAATATAATAATATAAATTTAAATACAAGTAAGCCAAGTTAGTTTCAAAATTACTTCATCAAACTATAAATTGTACAATAAGCGCTTTGCTTTGCCTAAGCTATCAGATATTTACAGAATCTATTAATTTTGACGTAACTGTGGTCTTTAGTAGCTATTATCTATTTTTATATCTTAAAATTACTACTCTGGGTTTAAGATTTTGAGAACAAATCCGAATTGAATAAGTATTTTTAGTTCAAACTTTCTAAGCAATTTCAACTTAAAAGCATCACAGCAAATGAAAGGTTGTATTTAATAGCGTATTAGTTCTGCAAATGATAGTAAATAACTACAGAGTAACCATATTTAATATAATCACTATTGCGATCAAGAATGATGTAAACACTACTTAATCATCCTGTTTCTAAAATTATAGCACCATCATAATGATTTTAAAACCTTAAAATACAGATTCTGTTATACGATATCAAAGTTTAAAATTAATCTATATATTTATATACTTTGTAAAAGTTTACATTAATATATAAGTCCGATTACAACAAGTTGTTTATCACGTAGAACCAAATTGATTCAATATTTTCACGCTTTTGACTTTTGGTTCACAAGTACATACCTGTATTTATGACGTTGGATCCTGATTATATTCTTGGTTACTAAACGTGTACCTAAGTGACTTGTAATTAGAAAATCTCTACGATACCGAATTTACAATCGAAATATTGCACTAGTCAAATATAAAGCTTAATCATACGTATATTTATTTACTTATTTACGACCTTAAGCTTCATAATAATCTATATTACTATTTCCAGGTAATTAAATATAAAGCTGCAGATATTCAGAATTGTATATTATTACATTGAAGAAATTGAACGTTATTTTTTTCATTCTCATCTAGGAATTACTTTCAGAGGGTGAGGCAATGCAAATATTGGCAAAATATTACTCTGAGGAAAAATTAAGCCAGCATCGTCAATTAGTCTTGCAAGCTATTAATAAATGTGCAGGCTTACCATTAGCCATATCTTTAATAGGTGGCCTGAATTGTAAGACCAGTAACGACTGGGAAAATGCTGTCAACACCATCGAGAGGAGAGATATGATTGATACACAACGAGAATATAATTTCAACTTATACACAGCATTTGATTTAAGTATTAATCACTTAGACCATAAAGAGCGAGTACTATTTCAATTACTTAGCGTATTTAAGCGCGTTCAAATTCCAAAAACATCAATTATGGCTCTATGGAATGAGGACAAGCATTATGCTGAATTATGCTTGAAAAATTTAAATGCAAGATCGTTGTTAAAATTCGACGAGAGCAGGTAAAGTACGTTAAACTTGGAATTTCATTATACAGCGTGCTTACATGTGTTTACTTTCTCCTCGTTTATCTCTACAAGCCGCACTAAAACCCATTTTATAGCGAATTTTTAAATTTATATTTCCAATCCTTATTTTATATTATTTCTAAATAATCAAGCGATTATTCACCATTTGAAAATGCAAAAAAAAATTAATTATATTACAATAATTGTCTAACTTATACAGGTGCTATTTAGTTCTTCATGACCTGATCATCGATTATCTGCAGCAACTACCTTGTGAGCATCAATCACCTTCAGATCATTGGAAATGGATGCATCAAACTTTAGTTAATGGTTATTTAAAGGGGTGTGAAAGAGAAGGTCGCGACTGGTCGTCTTTTCCTAATGATTATTACTACTACCAGTATCTTATATACCATGTTATACAAGCTGAAAATGATATAGCTTTAGAAAGTATCATGACTGATTTTAATTGGATGTCAGCTAAAATAGAAGCGCACAACGGATTGTATGACCTACGCTTGGACTTGATAAACTGTATTCAATATTTGCAGAAAATTGGAAAGGTCATTTACAGTTTATCCTTAATCCTACAGTGTACTACTTGTAGCTTGCGGATAGCATAGCAGCACATTTATACGTTTTCTTCATCTACGTAGCTTCATATAAGTACCTTAACAAGTCTTGTAGCTCAATATGTGCAATTATATTGTTACTCTTTGAGCAAAATATGCAAAGTCATTCAAGGCATATAATAACTAGATACCCATTTTAACAGTTTTATTTCCTATGCTGCCATCTAGGCTTCGGCATACAATAGTAGTAACATCAGCTTGTAGCCTGTGATCGATTTATCAATCTTGAAATTTTAACTTATTAACTCATAGTTATCAGTGCAATATTTCGATATTTCTTCGCCTTGTTCAAAATAATATTTCGATAGGTTGCAGTAAGCTGAAGTATTTACAACAACAGATTAACATAAAAAATTCGAATTAATTTACTTTAAATTGCATTTAATCAAAACAAAGAATATATCGAAATCTGATAATTAGCAAACTAATTTACTGCTCTAATAATTGTATTTGTTTAGGACTGGCAAAAATTTGATGAATTATTGCATCTGTTTAATCAATACGAGTCATTTTTGGATGGAAGTACTGGCGACTTAGTACAATTTCTGTTAATGTTCGGTAAAAAAAATCACTGGATTACTGAAAAAGCAATTCACTTTGCAGCGAATAATACAAAAAATCGAAAAAGCTACTATTGGATGATAAATGTGTAAGTGAATAAGAAATTAATATCATAAATTGCTAATCCTACGAAATTGCTGCGTATCCTAGTGTTAAAGATAAAACTGTAAACAATGTTGCTAGGTACCCGGATATTCAGAATGCAGAAAACGCTTGGATAGCATCAAAAAAAATCGGTGCAATGTATAACGATCGAAGCATAAGATGTTGCATTTCATCATTAGGAAATTTGTTAATAATTGGTACTAACAATAATGGACGAAACGACTGTCAAATCGTGGTAAGACTGCCTTACATGTATGCTAACTAGAAATCTTAAGCATTCCATTAATATCCAAGTCGAATAGATACTGCTATGAACGTAAACCTAGTTCACATGATAGCATTTATGAAGATTGCTATTTTATCTTATACTATTCTCTATAACATAATATATTTAATTCTTGGAACAATACATAATTTTTACCAAATCATAAATTAACAGAAGAAAATTACTAAAGTCAGTGTTGTAGTCATTTCTATCGGATATAATCATAGTAATAGAAATAATTTTATAGCTGTATCTACGTTTAATTTATGATTTAGTAAAAATTGCATATTTTGTCACTTTTTCAGCATCAATTTGCATTTTTAATTAATAACCCTAAGATGACTAAAAAATAAATTCTAAATGATGAAGTTAACAGCATTAATAGTGTCTGATACCTCTCTAATCTTACTTTCATTTTCATTATGAATGTAAAGTAGGTACAAACTCTAACAATAAAATACATTACTATTTATGATTTTTATCCCTTTTCTAATATAATGCTGAAATACTTCTATAAAATAAATCGATATGATAATGAAATTTGTTCATTTTATAATGTACCCTTTATCTTATATGACAGATAAAAAGTAGGCGCTACTCTGATAATTAATGATGATTATATCCATAACAGCAGTTCTCAATTAATTTTATATCTTATGCATTTACTTCAATCCAATTAGGGCAAAAATTATGAAACTTCGCAGGTCTTATTTAAACTAACTCCACTAAAGCAAGATGTTTATGCCCTTCGAATTTCTATCGACGGTACTATTATTGCTTATCGGTATGAATGCGAGGTAAGCCATTAAGATAACATTAAGAGATAATTACAGACTGTGCTATTCATTCTTAAACAATATAAGAAATTCTACTAGAATCGTGTAAAATTTATGACAAACTATAATGTGTATTATATATTTAATTAGCAAATTACAGATTTTAGTAACAAAGTCAATTTGCAGATTGCCTATGTTATTCTTGTTATAATATGCCTTTTAAAATTTTGTAACGAACTATAAAGTATTATGTGTTGTTGCAATTTCTTAATAAGCAGCAGTCATGGAAATGGGTAGTATATAACATTGAAACTAAAGAAGAACTCCAGTTTATCGATAAAAATTCTAACATTATGGAGGATTTGAACTGCTACGATCTACAGTTCGGTTGGATTGATGACGGTAGAAATATTATATTAACATTACGAAGAGATAAAAAAGAAGCCAAGGCAAGTAATATATTTCTATTTCATAAGTCATCAAACTAATATTGATCAAATTTTTAGCCAGCAGTAGGGCGGGTATCGATATATAACCTACTTCTGGCTATGTTTTTCATAATTATGTATATTACTAGGTTTGTTTAACACATTACTAAACACAAAATTAATGAAGGAGTGAATTTATCTGCGTTTTTTTAAAATCAAATTTCTTTAACTTTAAACTGATTTAAAGAATTTATCGACGATTTACTTGTAGTAACATACATTAAAATATATGCATATCTAATTTATACAGATTTGGAGAATCGAAGGTAGTCAAATTCAATCAGTAAATAATCCCTTCTTCTTCGAAGCCGGTGTACATCAGTGTGAATTTATACAAAATGGCAGAATGATTCTATTTTGGCGGAATCAAGATCATCAATTTGATAAGAAACGAGAAATAATTAGCTATAAATTGCAGGTCAAGAATTTTTTTCGTATTTATAATTTATTTGAAGATTACATACGATGATATCAGGCATTAATATAGTTCTCAATTTATAGATTTGGGATATAGAAGAACATCAATATAAGCAGATATATACGGTACCGGCGCGAATTATCTGGTCTAATAATCAAGTTAAACTGAGTAATAATGTTGGCCAAGGCCACATATTAGATCATGTTGTGCATATTGGGCAGCGTGATGCTACAATTGCTATGGCCTATGGAAAAATTCTTGGTGTTATAGCCACGGAACCTAACAGCCAAACTACATTTGATATAGTTCAGAATTTTGGAAATTTCTTTGTACCCATCTATCANAGTCCATTTAACATCGATGCTATTAAAATTTCTGATGATGGGCAATTGATTGCAATTCTATGCCATTACGAAGTATTATAGTATTATTTAATTCTTTCTTCTGCCTTAATTAAGCAATCATAGATTGATCACGAAAGGCTAATGGTATCCTTATAACCCTCGTCAAAAATACTTTCTTCTTTACAGATAACAGTAATTAAAACTATCAACGGGCTGGCTAATAAGTGTTTAAAGATAGATAGTCCAATTGGCTTGAAAAAGTTATCATTTATCCCTAAAACTCCGAGACTACTAGTCTATGAATATGAGAATTCTCAGTCTGTATATGAATATAATTTATCAGGTAGCTGTTGTTCCAATGAAAGTAGATCAAAGCAAGCTGCGTATATCAATAATTATTTCGCAATATTTTTTACTTTCACTCACTCTCCCTATATATATATAGAATGGCAAAGTGGCTGGAATGATATATTATTAAGACGCCAGGAGAGCATCGGCTATGAAGACTATGAAAATATTATAGACACAAGTTGTACCTTTATAGATGATATTCCAGTTGTTGCACAACTAATAACATGCGGAGCAGAGGGTAATTGCGAAATCAAGGTAGGATATCAATCTATCTTATTATCTCGACTTTAAATTACTGCCAAATTATCAGTTCTGCCTGAAATACATGCTATAGAACTTAATAAATATTGCAATATCCTATAAGATATTTCAAGGTTATCGGAGTGAACAGAAGTTCTCGATTAAGCTAGATGAAAAATATCAGCAGTGCTTCTTGTATGATGACTTTCCATCTGCAATCTTAGTTGGCGTATGTAAATGTCCAGAAAATGATGATCTTCCAGATCAGTCATTACTTCGCTGGCATATTACAATAGCAGAGGTAAATGGAATGTATAATATCTACTAATATTAGACTGGTGAAAATGACTATAAAGCTGTTTTAATGTTAAATCCTATAACTTGAAAGCTGACTAACTTTCAATGCACGACAACGGGTACGAGAGAAAAAAGAATTTCGGAATTTCATATACCAGATCAAGTTAAAGAATTCAGAGTAATATCATCAAGACATCGTAAAGCTGACAGCAATATAATATTAATAGTAAATATTATGGTAAGAACTATAGTCTGTAGATCAGGCTTATGAACAAGGAATAGAGATAATAAATGATAGCAATGTATCCTTATTTGTTTGGTAACAAATTCATCAATCTAACATGATAATCGATGATGATGAACAGAAGCATTAACAACACATATAAAAATTTGCTTATTTAGACAATCAATCACGGCGAGCGAGCTTTAATCATTATGGTCGATAGTAATACTTTAGCAAGAATAAACTGCTTTGATTATAACACGGAAATACATGAACAAATAAGAATAATCTATTTCGACGACTACAATCTTATTACTCGGCAATGGGTAGAAGATTGTTGCAAATGCAGTATTAAGGTAGCTGTAATTGCTCTTAATAATTAATTAAGCTGAACGATAGAAGTAGAAGTAAATAGAACAATAAATGGACAATAGCTTTCATTTGAGCCATGTACTTATCAGAATTAATTGGCTTATGTTATTAGCATATTTTCTTTAAATATGGTAGTAATTATCTCTATTAATTTTTACTCTTACAGTGGTATAAAATTGGCACCGATAGGATTAAACTTAAGCAACAACTAACGTATCAATTTGGTTCTGGTCTGGCTTTAAAAATTGACGTAATAACTAAAAATATAGGTAAATTGAAGATGAAAGTCTCGATTTTCAATTTAGATCAAGAAATTTTCAAGAGAATTTGGGGACCAAACGACACAGAAATTTTTGTAAGCAATTTCATTCAATGGAGAATCCTTTCCAACATGATTTGCATCTTTAAACCAATTTAATACGAGATTGTTCTGTATGATTCTTAAACTTAATTCATATTCCTTCTTGAATGAAGAAAGCGATTATTCCGCAAGATCGGAACGAATACTTTTTAATCACAAAAGAAGATCATTTCTCTGTAATTAATTTTCTTAATTTTAACATTAAGCTATCATATTGAGAATGATATTAATCATGATGAAATAATAATTATAAATAGGTTTTGGATCCATATCAAGATGTATTGGTTAAAGGCTTTAAGAAAAACAAATTAGAACTAAGTACTTATACACAAGTTCTAAATATAGAAAACTTATGGTCACAGAAATTCTACTTCACATTTGATCGTGTGGTCAGAAAAATGTATATTTACCAAGCCACAACTTTAAAGTTACTCCATATTTTGTCTTTTCCTTACTTTACCGCGTGGAGTATGAAATGGAATTCTCAACAATCATCTTTTATCTTAACTAATGCAAAGAATCAGTACAGTATTCTCGGTAGAGTTCCTGAAAGCGAAGCTTTTTTTTAGACGGTAGAACAATAAATCGTGATATACTGTACTACTTTAGCATGATTTAATGATGATTTGCTGATTGATTTACGGATAATTTCGTATGCATGGATGCTGTTTATTACCTCTAATTTTACCTTATCATGGTTTAACTAACAGTTTAATATTATGAAATATTATTCTTTCCTATTTTCCAGACATCGTACATAATAAGAATTATTAAACATCTTTCATTTACTACATAGATAATATATATAATCGTAGGTTTCGTATGAATTTTAAATTGATATGCTTTAGTCCAATCATAGTATCTTTAGGTCTATTAGATAGATTATGATAGTTAAATATCAAGATTATTTAATAGTTTAATTATATTCTTTAAAGCTGTAGAAACATCGTGTATATGCTAATCACATATTATGTAAGGCGTAAGTACTTGCAAGATTCTTCTAGTGTTACTAGAACAATATTTAAAACAAACCCGTTTTATTTAGCGTGTATCTTTTGATAGTGTAATTGGCGGTAATCTGCTCTATCTCAATAAATCTCATTAATAAAAGCTATTAAATTTTGTGCTGAATGGAAATCGAAATAAAGTGTGAAATATATTTTTCATAACCTCTCATAACCCATGCCACATTTACACCCATATAGCCGATTCATTTTTAATTCGTTTCCGATATTTGAGAAAAACGACGAACAGATTTACTTGAATTGTAAGATGAGCATCGATAGGCCGATATACTGTACATAGATAATTATGTATAGACATAGAATTGTAAATAGATAGGTAGATAGATAAATAGACAAATAGATAGATAGATAGATAAACAGATAAATAGAGAAAGCAACGTGAATGTGAAAGACATGATAGATATAACAAGCAAAATAAGATACATTCGACGCACAGATAGGTAAATTAATGACTAAACACGCGGGTGATTGAACAAAATATAAATACAAATATAAATGTGATGGATATCATGTTAAGAATTAACCGCAAAATATGAGAATTTAAAGTCTTAATAAGTCCTTTTAAAAATTAATCTGGACTTTAGACAAATATTTTATATGAAAATTAGGTAGAACACCTCAGATTCTTTTACTACATATCATAAAATTGTTGGTATTTTAACCCTGCGTAAGAACAAAAACTGGATTATTCATAAATAATCTAATCAGTGGGTAAGACCTACTTTCAAATTAATCGAAGTATCGTAATTTTCGAGTTATTTTAAATATATACGGTATAAATCTTTAAGAATATTACGACTTTAGTTGAAGAATAGCGAAATAGTGTAAAATTTCAAAGTATTTCAAACCAATAACTAATTTTGAAAAGTGTTTCAGCCGAAGCCCGTAATGCAGCCATTACTGGTATTGGCTCGCCTTTTCACATTAATTTCTGTACATTAAGTAAATGTATGGTTTTGTATGGACAATTCTTAAATTAACTGGAAAAGTTTAGAAAACAAGGTCTTTTGCAAAGGCTATTTGGATATTTTGTTTCTGACAGCAAAGTATGTGTAATTGCCATGCTAAATGCAAAGCTGCAAAAGCCTTGCATGACTGCATAATTATAGATACGAATTATATAAGCGTGCATCCATTTTGCTAGCAGCCATTAAGGCTAGAAAGATATCTATTTTAATGGAATGGATATAAGGATCAATCAATGACGGGCGTAACTGTATATTCCATGAAGGACCGTATGATGAATGAAGAATATTTATTTTATTCCAGCATGATATCTCAAGCATTAGCTCACTCTGTCCTTCCAACAGTATAAACAAACTATATTATGTTCTTTAATTGGGCTTAAAAGGTTTGTTCGTCTCGCATGAACTGGGAATACTTATTTTAAATACCTACAGCATACAGTATTTGTCTATAATACCAATGCTAAATCAAGTGGTGGCTCAAAATGAAATTAAATAGAAGTATTTTTATCCAAGATCTATAATACATCGAAAGGTTAGCAGCTTGTGTGTTTGACTAATTTATTAATTCAATTTTTATCGTCCATATAAAATCTGTTGGAAATATTCATCAATGAATTCTTCTTAGATCTTGACCGATTAACAGTTATAACTAAGGTCAAGTTCATAATCAGCGGGATATAAGCTTGGATAGATCCCTATAACTGCAAAAATAGACCAATCATGAACAGAAGATTAGTAGATGATCACTCTACCTCCGTTAATCAAATTATTAACAACCGAAATACGATTTTAAAATAATTGCCAATCCCCCTCTCCAATCTTTTTACCGATAATTTCTTGTACTATCGAGCATATTATGCTAAAGCAATACTATTTTCGATTGGCGTGTGATCGTGTACGTATGCAATGCATAATAGCTGCTCCATATGTTCAAGGTGCTCAATAAAAACAACCACGCTATCGATTAATTAATAGATAATAGCAGTAAGCGCGATATACATCACATAATCATTTCATTTAAATTTAAAAGCCAAACCTGGAGAAATTGTATGTCAACGAATTTCCATAGCTAGCTAGATCCTATATCTACTGTCAAGCAAAATCAAGCTTATTGATGAATCTCGACCATATTGGTAGAGTCTTGCACAAATTGTAAGTGATCAATGTATAATTTAAAATTGTAACAGGTAACCATAAGTAAACTACAGTCTTGTCCTACTAGACGAACCCAATCTGTAAATAACCCTGCAATTTTCTTTTACTTAAACCGATCGTAGTAACTCGATCAGGATTTTATTAGAAGCTATATTAATATTGTAATGAAGTATTAACGACACTACTATTGCTGAGCGACACTTAAATTGGATTTGAATATTTTATACTATCTTAAATGACAAATTTTGCTAGATTTAAAGCCCATTCTACCGCTAGATTATGTTTTCAGAAAATAGTCAAGTTATTTCCATCATCAAGCCTCAAAATTATCGTTATTGATAACTATCTTTCTAACTGCTTCCATGAATGGCGTCTATTTAGACTAAATGGAGTTTTACCTTTTCTTAAATTGATTTTATAACTTAATCGAGATTGTATTACCACTCAGTTACTGTAAGATCTACCATAAAGATAATTACTATTTAAGTTGCACATTTCATGGTTTACATTATCCTAAATGGCACCAGCAATCTTTGCTTAGCCTAAACTATTGACAACAACTTGGTTACGATTGCATTAAAATTAAAGCAAATGATATGATCGTAAGTTACTAGTTGTAGCTAGTAAATGCAATTTAGGCTAGTGTCACAGATGACTTAAGTTATACCAAATAGTAGCTCCATAATGGCTTAAACTGATGATCCCAATATGATCGTATAAAATGATTGCCGTAATATCTAGAATTGAGATTGGCTATTGGGTAATTGTTGTACTCAAGTGGTAGTACTTACCGGAAAAAGATTCTACAGTAGTAACTTCATAAGACGTGCTGTACAAACAAAATGAATGGTCTGATCTAATCATAAGACGATGGCCGGCTATATTAGAATTTCAAACTGCTTTTCCTGTAACTTCAACTTTAGTTAGAGTAATTATGAGCAAACTTGGTTCAGGCCGCAATTCAAAACTAAAAGAAGCTCTAACCATACAGCTATCAACGATCGTTTTTATAAATATGCTAAATTATGCCAAAGGGTTACTCTTACCTAATTTATGATTACTGTAAACACTCGATCAATATTTTAACATTTATTGAAGTAATATCTTAATTGATCTTGATAGTACTAGCATACGAGGAGAACAATCTAAATTAGCATTTGGAATTGAACTATAGTATAATCTACACTATCATTCCTAGTAGCACAACTCCGTCCGTTTGTCAACAACTTTCAATGATTAAAATACTCTACAGTGGAGAAAAATACGATGCATGTACTTGATTTCCATGATAGGCGAAATTATTAGTCTGTTGGCTTCGTTTGCAATAAAATCAAGACCGAATTCTTGCTAGATAGAGTTCTAAAAGCTATTGCTATGATTGAGTGATTGCAACTTTCTTATAATTTCATATCATTAAATTTTATTACAAGTCATACGAATGAGTACTCATGAAAAATAAGCTTTAAGTATAAAAGTTTAATTTTAATTATCATTCTTAGTTATTTAGTTGTTGATCTTATGGCAGATATAAATTATGCTCACAATATAGGTGGTAGGGCCTTTTTAAGGTATACACAGTATTCTAATACCAATGTTAGGATGCCATTTATGCTAGCTCCTCCTTAAAGAAAACATTCCATCATATCAGTATACAGTCAGGACTCAGTTTTCATCAATAGCAGTTATAACTTTAGCAAAAATAGAATTCAGTTATTTCTCTGTATTGTAGCGAAGCTTACGGACTATGATGGCTATTTCTTCAAGAAATTAATGAAATAGCCAAATACCAAATTCATTTATCAAAAATTAGAACATCAGGATAGTATATCCTAGAGGTAGTCTCTGTTATAGACTCCAAATTTCTATTTACATTCATGCCACAATATTACTTCAATACCTAGCTCAAATGATGAATTTGCTAGTGTCGACTCTAATCTACGACAATATAAAGCAGAACTAGACTTGGATTATGATACCTTTTACTATTATGCTGAACTCTATTACCAAAAGAAAGAAATATTGAGATGTAGAGCATAAGTTTATATACTGTATACGTATAGCAGCTGTAGACATTTTTTTTATAAGGTAGTGTAGCCAATTTACATTACAGTATAATGACATCTGTCCAACAGGCTTTTTGCCCAAGATATTGGAATACACGTAAAAAAATTAAATGCTACAACCCTAGGCTTGGCGTATTAGAAATATAGTCGTTAGTATCTAATATAAAACCTACCTATATTCTATATATACGAGCATGATGTTCCGATTTGCAATATAAGAACATCTGCCACGCCAATTTTCTTCTAGAATTACTGAATATTAACAATGAAATTGGCAGATAGTAGCATAGATTTTACTAATTCTATATTATGCGATTCAATTTATATCTTAATACTCTTATTATGCCCTTCTCTACTTAATAGCTACTTCGATATTAAATAGTAGGCTAACAATGACTAGTTAAAATTCCATATCTATTACCAAGTAGCCACTTTGATCATTAGCTAGTTGTATCATTTACAACGATTAGCCAATAATAATAATAATGAAACGCTATTGAAACCAGTTGCTATAGCATTTAAGCCACAATATCTAGAGCAAGATCAAGCTCAATAGTAACTATGAATTTTTTCAACCCAATTTAAAAGCATTCCTCTATTCAATCATCTTGCAACTATTCTCTTGTAATTTTCATTATTGATTTACTTGAATATACCAAACTGCCCGGGCAGTTTGCAATATGACCGATTTCGCATCCGGTCTCGTTCATATATACTATTCTATGTCACCATAAGTAATGCTCGTAATTCTATCATTTATTTACTTCAGTTCAATTTTAAAGCGTACCTCTACTCGATCATCTTGCAATTATTCTCTCGTAATTTTAATTTTTGATTTGCTTGGATATAGAAACTATTCTACATCACTTTAAGTAATAATCCTTAGCCAAGATGCAAGACAAAGATTCCATCACGATCAAATCTCTCAATTCCAATCAATTGGCAACGGAATTCTTTCGTGATTTAACCCAATTGATGCCAACTAATGCTGTTATCAATCGATTTATTCACCATAAAATGATTGATCCATTAACAGCAAGCCAATGGAAGATCTATAATCAGGATAAAATAAAGCGTGCCATCCACCCAGATCAGAATCAACTATTTCTTGTCGCTAATAAAGACAAAATTCTCGCTCATTTCTCCAAATTTCTATCAATACTTGATCATATAGGGATCTGCGCTGAATTACAACGCCGTAACTTACAGGAAAGACTTGATACTCTCTTTTTTACACAATCTCAAGGTGAAATAATCTTATTAAACTAAGCATATCCCATCTTTAACTTTAGTTTGCCTCTTTAATTAATCCTATTTTAATGTTTATTTATGCTATCACCATTTCATCAATGGCTTGGATCACAAATGATACATCCAATTACAGAAAACGAGCAGCTTAAAGACTCAAAAGTACACCAAATCAATCAACAGTTATCACGGAATGGTTCAATAATTGATGTAAATCTATTTATGACTGAATTCCGTTTAGCTTGTACAATAAAAGACAACATTTGCGATCATACTAACGGTACAGCAACAGTTCATGCATTAAATCATCATTATCCAGGTAAGTTGATTTACGCTATTATCACAGCGGTATATGAATGTCTTTATGAGTTCCCGTTATTTAATAAGCTATACCATCCTTAAGTTAATCTATCGGTACAAATTTTAAATTAGGTGTGACTATAATTGATTGTATATTTTATGTACTATATTATAATTTTCAGTATTAAATGTACTTATATACTACTATCTATGAAACTAAATCTACGTCACCAAAAAAGTGTTCTTAGATTTACTTTACCATTAATTAATGTATTTAATCCCTTTTCTTGGTAATAGAAATTTAGTTCCCTACATAACAAATATAGAGTAAGATGATGACCTACCATTATTATTAAATTAATAATATGGCTAAATTATGAATCACCATAATTTAATAAGCTTAATTATCTAAAATACTCTTGTTCATTTCTATACGAATATTCAAAATATCCAATAGAATACAATATTAAAGATCAAACTTTAAAATGGACACAGCAAATGATTGATAGCGATGAAAATGATTATGACAGCAATGACATGTTGGATGATGATGAAGAGGACAATAATGATCGAGCTTTTAGCGATAGTGAAATCAATCAATTAGAATTTACATCTTATGGTGTTCGCTATCAACATCGTCTTCGTTCTCATACCTCACCATATGGTAAGAATGTTAAAATATCACGAGATGACAATGAATATCTCCCGTGGTATGATTGGGAGGAAGAATATGAGAAAGCGACGTTTTATTTCTATGCAAAACTGGCCAATATATTATTACCTGGAAAGGTAAAACCTATAACTATAAAGTATAATGACATTTCAACCGATATTATATTTAACAATGGTATACAGACTTACGAATATACCTATCAATTCTAATGTCGTCATACGGAAATTATTAGCAATCCTTCAGTAACAGTGTTAGCTACTCATGATTAATAGCGCCAAAAATATTTACAAATATATCCATCAATTCTATTATAGCTTCAGCAGAATTTTTAGCAGTTCTTCACTAGCAATGATAGCCGCTCACAATTAATGGCATTGTACAAATTTACAAATATATCCGTCAATTCTATTATAGTTACAGGAGAATCTTTAGCAATCCTTCAATAGCAATATTAAATACTCATGATATTTCTGCTAAATTAACGAAAAGTCACATATCTGTAAATTAATAAGCTATGATTCCGCAATTATAATGTATTTTTATCACAGTGATTAATCCAAATGCAAGACAAGCAGCAGACTTATAAAATTATTAGTAAATCTAAGGTTTTCAAAGTTAGCGGTGACCATTAAAGCTGTTTTTTTAGGAATGGTCATAATACTCATAATGTTGCAACTCACCAATGTTGCTGTATAAATTCATCTCTTACTAATTGATTGATTCATTATATAGAATCTACAAGAATCTACATCCAAAGAAGTTAAATTAAAAGAAAGGACTAGAATTTTGCATGAATTATCAACTGAAAAGTAAGTTATGCAACATTCTAAAACTAAATATATATCTTAGTAGTATTACATATAGAATAACTCATGATCCAACGGGCGGGTAAATAGACTGCTAGAATATTACAGTAGTCCTAAGTTAAACTTTGAACGAAAACCTTTATGTATCTTTGCATAATAATTTCTTGAAGTATCACGCTAGGTTGCTTACTATAAGACTAATACAAATAAAAATAGGTAGCAAGCGGTAGCGATACACTAATAGTATATCCAACTCGGGCATAAGAATACTATAATCGCCTTTAATTCAATTTCTGCCTGATAAAAAGCCTATGCTATCGTTAGCACTGCCACAAAGTAATTTAAGGACACTTATAAATCTAGCTTTATCGTCACTACCACTAGTCATTTAAGCAATTATTTATTGTCTTGATCAATCCTTATTAGGCTATATCATACAGACCAAATGATTTAATAGCGCAGATATTCTACTTTTAATGCTAGAAACTCAAATTTAATCAGCTAATATCAATATTAATATAGTATGTAGCCATACAGCTGGTGTAACCTTTCAAAATTTCAAATTATGTAGTGACGACCAAAATGCGGACAGAGGCAGAAAAAGTAAATGGAAAATAAAATCAATGTAAGTCATTTATACATGTTACTTCTTATATGGAATACGCGCATATTTTTTATATTAAAATACATAAGTTATGCGTATATGTATAGATACACGAATTTTATTTTATTTATCCACATTTAACAATCCTAATAAATAAGTAAATAAATGTGGATATCATTTTGTTACCTGCATAATCAATTATCATTCACTTTGTTTTCCTTTATGTCTTGGTTGCTGCTTAGTTTAACAGCTATTAATAATAAAGCAAAAGAAAAACGACAAATATCGGTTGCAAATACTAAAAATAAGGCCGGTAGGCTTTTGAAAAAGAATCATAGCCTGAAGCGACTTAGGAAACACAACAAACTAAGAGGGTAAGCTAAACTTCCTCGAATTCATTCTAACGTGATTAAGAAATTTCTTTTAAAAATATTCGTATAATGAACGATACTTATTTAGGCTGTTAGTGTATAACTCTAGCTAATATCAAGATTATTTTTTTACTATTGTACAAATAACTGATAAAAATAGCCGAACTCAGTCCATTGACAATAGCGAAATGACAAAACGTAAGTATGAGATAAAATTTAGCAAGATTTTAAGACTTTCAAATCTATAAATTTATCCATCTAAAACCTGCATTTAATAAAAGAATAGATAAACCTGTTATGATTATGCTACTGATAAAATCTTCAGCTAATCTAATATTATCATTATGAGATTTAAATTGCTATATTAATGCAATAAATCGATCGATATCATACCTTAACCAGCTACCTGTATTTCTTATAAGCTTAGACTGCAATAGTTTAATAAAATTGTACGAAAACTTGCTAATCTCTTGATCAAAAGAACGGAATAATGATTTATTATAACCATTGGTGGTGTCGAAACCTTATCCTAACATACTCAACCTAACTACTCATATATTGCAAATTTCACATAAATTAGATGATAGACTTGGCAACTATTTTAACAGATCGATTTCATAATCTATTAATATTGTTACAATGTCATAATAAAATTACTCTAGAGGCTGAATTAGTAGTTAATTATTGAATTTCCAAGATGCACTTGTTGATTATAGAATTGATGATGAATGTTTAATCGTTCGATCTTGTAATATAAATTGGAAATGAACCCGTATATAAATGTGTTAGCAGATCGATATTATAATCTGTTAATGTTATTATTTTGAAATAAGAAAATTACACTGGAAGCTGAATAGCAATTATTAAATTTCGAAAATGCTACTGCTAATTATCGAATTGACGATGTCTATTCAATCATCCGATCTTATAATATATATTAGGAATAAATTTCTATATTTATATTTATACGTTAATATTCTATCTTTCCTTAAAATAGATTATACCGTAATTGGCCATCATATTAGCAAGCAAAGACACTTAAGCAGCTTTAAAGCCTTATATCTATCATTTCTAGAGCCACAAGATGTCTGTATAGCGGCAACAAGAACTATAAATGTCGACAATAATTGGCCAAACTATTCCAGTTTAAGATCCAGTAATTGCACAAGTACAGCATCATCAGAAGACGATTTGTTTGCCCAACAAGAAATACAGCAAGATAGAAGTATTGATAACGAAAACCAGCAATACAGTCAGTCCGACGATAGTTGTAGTCTTAAGTTAGAAGATCAATCTGTCAATTTCGAACAATTTTTATTTACCACTAAAGAGAGCGACAATCAATCAACAACTGTATGGTTGTGTACTAAGCAAGGCTACATAGTTGTAGTCGATTTTGGAGACAAAAAGGGTAAATGTCAAGATAGATTTCGCGTCTGTACATCATCATTGCTATCAATAGCAGCAATCCCCAAGTATAATGCAGATGAACTTCTTAGTAAAGAAGGGGATAAGCATTACCAATCTGTAGAAAATCACAATATTGAAAAAAAATTAGCACAAGTAAGCTCAAAAATGGATCGTCATGATGCCAAACAATCCATTTTGCTATCAAGTAACGATATTAAAGCCCGTCTTCAACAACCCTGTATGTGGATTGGCTCTGAATCGGGCTGGTAAGAATGTAATTTTGTTACTAGAAACATCAGTATCAAATTACATCTTATACCTATAACAATTACCGAAAAGGCGGATAAACTCTAGAATACAATAAGTTCGATCTAAATGTATTTTAAAAATAATTTAAAACAAAATTCATGCTGAAATCCTCAACAAGTTAAAAACTAACCCACTAAATAGATTAGTTTTAAGATGAAACGCGATAGCTCCTAAACATGCGATAATGATTGCAAGCTTTAGTCATAATTATAATTAAATTATTCATATCATCGATACTGATTAAATTCCACTATCCTAATGAAATTAAAGTTGAATTCGAAAGGTGTGACGGTAAAACCTTAATTAAATGAGATGGATAATTAAAATGAAATCTGATAGATGCAAAGCTATCATAATCGAAATCGAAAATTCTTAGTCAAATAAATCATATTTCCTACTCATAGCTTCAATATACGACGTCAGAATTTCATTACTCAACAGAATTAATACATAACCCTAAGAAATGATGACAAGATATTAAATTACATGAAATTGACTGTGACTTAATTTAGATTGCCTTTGTGTATTTCAGTGAGAGCTGGTATTCTAAGCATTGAAACATCTGTAATATAACATCATTTCCATAAAGTATAAGGAAAGATATAAAGCACTAAGTAATATAAAAACTTTAACTAGTTAATAGATTTCATATTCGAGAGGATTCCATGGTTTATATCAGACACTTGCTAGTAATTAGACATCATTTTCAAAAGTGTAATACCATAGTGATATAAGTATTGCAACTATAAAACATCTATATATCCACCAGAATTGATTACGCCATACAATTATGCCGGTAACGCTTCGTTAATTCCGATCAAAATTAATCTCTGTTCTAATAAATGATAGTTTAATAAGATATTCATACTAGGTAATTAATTATAGACAGTTATTTAATAGATAGTAAATTATACTGGCAGCCGCTATGCAAGCATTTAGCACTTGTAATTGTAAACATCGGATGATATTGACTCATGTCTTGACTAATTCTTACGTCGAGATTTACCAGAGCCAGTTAATCCTTTATACATGAATGCTAATTGCTAAAATTCAAGTATAAGGATTCTATAACAATTAATTTTAAATTTCATTAATCCAGGTTATACATATATGAATGTAACTCAAGCCATTATCAATTACTACATTCTTTATCGCTAAAAGATTCCATCTTAAGTCTTCAGTAAGTAAAAAGTGTAGCACTAATATTAAAATTCGATAAAATACGCGTATTACTGACATTTAGCTTCATATTTTATTAAATATTAATATTCGATGTATCTAAAATTAACAATTCATCGTACCGTTATTTAGTTATAATCAAGATCGAGTATTTGTTGGATTAGTAAGCGGAACGCTTATCGTTTTTGAAAGAGATTCAAGTAGGTTTGATTTGCGTAAAGTAGTCTAACTGACCTAAATTCGCTTACGTATCTAATGGTAATCATCCAAATCTTATTTTACGCTCGTATAAATATTTTTCTATAATAACTTATATCGCCACTTTATTCAGGTGGAAACTGGAAGTTTGACAATCATGATGCTATTTCCTTGGGAATCCATACTATAGCACCAATTTTATGCATCGATTCGTGTAGTAATACATTATGGTGTAGCTGTGGTAATATGCTACATGTTATACGCCTTGATAATATGCAGATAGAGGTGAATTACTCTATATTGGCATTTAAAATATTTATATCTATTTTAATCGCTATCAATGGAGCACCGGTTGATCACTAACTTTCGAAAGCTCTATACAAAAACTATAGGCATCCATGCAATGCCATGCCCGAACTAAGCATTATGTAACTAATTTGGCATCGGTTGGCAACTATTGGTGGATTACTACTCGTCGCAGCAGTATTATTCGCGTAATCCATCAAAATACCTATCAAACCATCAAAGAATTTGATATAGCCGATCACATTGAAGGAAGTGTTGGTAAGTTTGAGCACGAAAATATTCTCATTGCTTAAACCTTCGCCTAGCAGTACTGAAAAATCATATTACTAAGCTGTAATACCGATCTTAAAATATGGATATTAACAGAAATAACGGTTAGACGGCTATTACGCTTTAAAATATATCTCTATACAATTTTTAGCTAAGAAGGATTGGATATGTGTGACAGCTATGGTAGCTCATCATAACTGCTTATGGATTGGTACGAATATCGGTAGTGTACTTAGATTGCCTATGCCATCAGTTACCTCACCAGAAGCTGTGACTAATTCTGCAGGTATATGCTATTAGGCATAGTAATTTAATTCAATTGCAGTATACTATTTCTTTTATTCTTACTTTTCCCACCATGATGGATACCTTAAAATAAAATTATAAACTAATTTTATATATCTTCAGCTGTTTCTTACTATATTAACATATATTCATGTTGATTTTTTTTATAGCAGAATCCCTGCAATTTGCGTGGCTTAAATTAACACGAGTGTGTTCATTACGTCATCGAAGTGCTGTGCGCCTCCTTCTACCAGCCTATATACGACAGTCTGTTGACTGCAAGATCGTAAAGGCCGATCAAAAGCATAACATCAATCCAATGCAAACCACAGATGTAACTTATCTACACAGAAGTGACTCGAACGAGGAAGATTTTGTAAACAGAGTAAGAAATAAAAAATCTTCATCATCTACTAAGACTGAGGCAGTTATGTTCAGCTGTGGTGAAGGAATTGAAGTTATAAATAACGACCTTAAAAAATAATTAATGACTGTATGTAGATTTAAGTTATCATTAAGTATCATACATTTGGATACAGATATATGTTGCCAGGACTACTGTATCGTCTTAGGGGTTATGCTGATTCGAAAGTATGATGTTCTTGAACTTTAACAAATGACTGTCTAAATATCATAAACTTAAAAACTTTTAAGCCTGTTCAATGAGAATGTAAATATGATCTATATACTGTATATTAACCAGGTTTAGGAAAGAATTTATCATAGCAAAGAAAATTGAACTTGGTATACTTGATTGATCTGCTTTGAATGTACAAATAATGCAATCCTAAATTAGACTGCATAACTAAGCTTTGGACACGACTTAGGCAACTATAAGTAAAAACTTATGATATTATTGCTCGATATATAATCATTACTAGCGTGCATAATTTATAAAGTTTCTGACAATGTATTTATTAATATCTATATCTACATTCTGAGATCTGCGGCCAAGTACTGTATAACTCAGATATAATACGGCACTATAATTCTGACATTATCACATCTTGCTAACAGAAAGACTGAGAATTGTCACGATTGAATATCTTGGTGGTAGTAATATGATTCCAATACCAATAGCTATTTTTGGAGCAGTGGCATAATATCATGCATTATGATGACCATCAACTGTTTGAGGTACAGAAGCACTGTCATCACATTAAATCCATGCTGAATTCTAGTCCGCAATGCCATACAATATGGGTATACTTCTCTTGTTGTTTAATATCACACAATAATGTATGATGAAACAATTGTCAATAAAGAAAATGCATTTATTTCCATTAGCGCAAAATATAATTCGATTTGAGTTAATATTTCAATTTTCACATTATGCATTTATCTAGAAGTAACGTACAAGCCATAGCTCATCATTGAACTGGCATACAACTAAAAGCGTGCGATATTATAACGAATTGGTAAACTATCATACATTTTTTACAAACAACTATACACTGTTACGTACGTAAGATATTATCTAAGAACATGAATAAATAAACTACAGTAAAGCTATCAAAATTCTATATTACGGAAAACAATAGTAGTATCGTATGCATAGGTAGGTGCCTACATCTGTAGCGACATAGGCGAGTATACTTTAACATGCTCGTCCCATGCACAATCGACAATCTGACCTGGCCTATGTAAATTAAAATTTAATCCAGTTACAAATTCTGAATGGTGTTCAATTACTTCCAACATTGGATTTGGTAATGCAATATTCCACAGCCTAGTCAAAACATAATAAAAACTATTTATGCTCGCATAGCAATATGATTATAACCCGAACAGAATGGGCACAAACCTGACTGTTAGATCATATGAACACGATGCCACAATATTTTCCTTATGCGGTGAAAACTAAATATGATAGATATTAGCTCAATCATGCAGCCATTTTCTTATTGCAAATCAATTATCGATCGNCTTTTTTTAACTATACATTTTCACATGATTGACTAATCGAAAGCGAACCTTAACTTTCTTTACTGCATATTGATGACCAGGTAAAGTTATAGTTGGAATCTTTGCATTTCTTAAATCCCAACATCTACAAAGATAATTACAGATCTCAATAAAATTGATAGGAAGTCAACATAAATCTGTAGAATTCAGTACAATTACTAACCTAAGGATATTATCGGTAGAGCATGAAATAATCACATCCTAAAAAGTAAACGATATAATTCTATCAACTAAGAATCAACTATCATTTTACAATTCGTAACAGCTCTGTAGTTAGGGAATAAAAATACTTTGTTATATTTATTCCAGTCACAATGAAGTATTTCACCCCTTCCATCGTTGATTATTTTAAGACAACGTGATGGAGTCCTACAATCCCAAAAGCGAATAGTGCCATCACCCGCGGCAGAAGCGAACATTGCTAAGTAATGTGGTGACCATGTAGCGCAATAAGCCACATTTTCATGGCCACTATAAGTGGCAAGGCATATTCCTTTCTGTGGGTCCCACTTATGTCATAAAAATAAATATTACAATAACTATTTATGAGCAATGAGTCCTATTGCATATTCATCTGATACATTGAATTGGCACAAATTCACCATTTTTCATGTATACGTACAAGTTTAATATCTTTATCCCAGGAAGCAGAGATTACATGCTGTGGTGCGTTTCTTCTCTTCGTCCAATCTACGCAATAAACCTAAGAGATAAGAAAGATTAGCAAGAAGAAATAATTTCAACACCGACATACTCTTAAAGCATAGTTACTTACTTCTTGTAAATGATCTTTCATGACAGCAACTGGAGCCTATGTTCAATGATGATAAGAAAATAATAAACTCAAAAATGCATTTAATGTAATGCCTTCTCTACGTGAGTGAACTATTTACAGTTATTACACAGTATATTAAGTTGTTCGATTGAAGATTGCTTTCACAACAATATTAAATAATCCAATGATGATTCCTTGGAGGTGGAGATCTACTGTAACAACGGTTGCATGCAAGTATAAATTGATAATATTGTATACGCTAACTAGTATAGGAGATTTTATGACTTGAAAAATAATCCTAAATTGAACATTATGCAATCATTGTATGCAAGCAGTGGTAAGTTTGTTGCTGTAATAGTAAGATGTACATGATTTATTGGGTCATCGTGTATCATTGTAGCTAATCGATCATCATGTTCAGCAAGTATTCCATTCCTGCACCCTATACAAAAGGTATTTAAATAATGCTATGATTTTTTGATAGCTATTCTATTTGTTAAGCATGGCAATGCAGATGCAATAGGTAACATTGAGATGGATAGATACAGCAATTGTAAGGTATTAAAGGCATACTATTTATTGTCGTGTATCTTGTGCGTAGGATTGAGATTGGATATCATTGTGCCTCCTCTTACTGTATAATGTACACGTAGGTTAATATAGAGAAATTAGGCATGTTGCAAGACGTACTAGTTATACTATTCGTTGTCGGGCTTGTATATATCTACCCTGAGAATATCACAAATATACGTATTGCTTGGCCGACAGTGTCATTAAGATTGGCTTATTATTGTATTTTCTGAACTCGTCAACAAAAAATGGATAGAAATGATCATTGAAGGCCGATCTATGTCAAAATGACAAAGTTATTTTACTGACATTGTCTGCACTAATATTCCAAATTTGGATGCTACCATCGCCACTGCAAGTTACAATGATATTGTCGTTGATTTCACTCCAGCAGCAATCAAATAAGCTGGATTTCCATTCCAATCTTCACGTTGAAAAAGAAAACAATGGTTATATATATTATATATATATACACTCTTTATGTAGCCACTAGTAGCTGCATATCGTGTAAAATATACATTGTAGTGTCCACAAAACTACTGTAATTAGCTGAAATCACTACATGCATCTAAAGTCTATCCATCGTATTATCATGTACAAGTAGTAAAGTGATTGAAGTATTTGTGCATATGACTAGTATGGATCAAATCCATATCGATGAATTGTTGCAAGACAATGCATGATGGCATCCATGTTGAATTACCTCTTATTTAGTAGTAAGCCCTGAGGTTGTGCATCAATGATATACAATGTTCCTGGACCTATTAAAAATAATAGATAATTGTATAACTGTCTTTCATAGGCTTACAGCATGGACATTAGCAACAATCGACGATTCTAAGTAGGTCTTGGTGATGAGAATAGATCATCATTTGGCTTACCGGCAATGCCAAAATTTTCACCAGTCACACAGGCTATCCGATCAGCAAAATAAGGCGAGAAATCGACTGAATAACCATGTCGATTTTGGGTTATGTATTGCATACAGAGATACAGTATCGTGTGCCGGTGGAGAAGATAAAGAATAGCACTAGATTAATATCCAACGATTGGAGAAGAAGTTGTTGATGGTTGCAATAGCAACATCAAACTCGCTTGTAAATAACGATGGCGAAATAGCCAGTTATGGAATTGGTACACGGGGTAGTCTACCAGCGTAGACACATCTTCGCTAAGCCATAATCTTCTCCATCCACTTTGATGTTATAAATTACACTGTCCAAGCGCTTACTGTATGGGTTACCTTACTCCAATCGACTCTCTCTCTCTACCAGTTTGTATGGAATCGCCGACCTCTGCTGGTCTGACCCCTCCCACATGAAACGCTTGACCTGTGTGGGTGACGTGGACCAATCAGGTCTGTTGACGTCTCCGCCCTCTACGACACTCTACTGTATGATTCACCACCACGTTGAAGTAATACTGTACTACTGTAGTAGCAGCAGCTGTGGTGCGTTTAAGGAATGATGCAAATTGACGAGCTCAACTCTCTCCATTCCCATCCATTTCCATTTCAATTAAGGAATCACATTCATGCGGGGTAACACAGGTATACTAAAGCTACCTGCTTTTAAGCTGACTTATTAGGATTAGACAACTAGCGGCTGATTGAAAGTAATGTAGCGAAAACGAGCCACCCAATGGATGACATTGTTTTTGAAAGTAGTGGAGTAGCGACTCCTATTCATCGTATTGTACACTACTGTAACACACAGTATCGTGGCAACATAGGCAAAATTGTGTGCAAAATCAATGTCACACCCTGCTACACGAAAGCCAACCCTTACAGTCTCAGCTTACAGTGTACAGTACAAAGTCTGCAACTTGCGTACAGTATACTGTACTGTACTGTACAGTATAGTAACAGCACTTCTCCAGCAACAGCTGCGCTGCTGCGTTCAAGGAATGATGCAAATTGACGAGCTCAACTTTCTCTATTCCCATCCATTTCAATTTTATACAGGGTAACACAGGTGTACTAAAGCTACCTACTTTTTAAATGACTTATTAGGATTAGACAACTAGCGGCTGATTCAAAATAATGTAGCGAAAACGAGCCACCCATTGGACGACATTATTTTTGAAAGTAATCGAGTAGCGACTCCTAATCATCATATGATACACTAATGTAACACGGAGTACAGTGCAACATTGGCAAAATTGTGTGCAAAAGCCATGTCACATCCTGCTGCACCAAAGCCAATCGTTACAGTCTCAGTTTAAGTGTACAACATAGTAACAGCACTTCTCCAGCAACAGCTGCGCTGCTGCGTTCAAGGAATGATGCAAATTGACGAGCTCAACTTTCTCTATTCCCATCCATTTCAATTTTATACAGGGTAACACAGGTGTACTAAAGCTACCTACTTTTTAAATGGCTTATTAGGATTAGACAACTAGCGGCTGATTCAAAATAATGTAGCGAAAACGAGCCACCCATTGGACGACATTATTTTTGAAAGTAATCGAGTAGCGACTCCTATTCATCATATGATACACTAATGTAACACGGAGTACAGTGCAACATTGGCAAAATTGTGTGCAAAAGCCATGTCACGTCCTGCTGCACCAAAGCCAATCCTTACAGTCTCAGCTTAAGTGTACAACATAGTAACAGCACTTCTCCAGCAACAGCTGCGCTGCTGCGTTCAAGGAATGATGCAAATTGACGAGCTCAACTTTCTCTATTCCCATCCATTTCAATTTTATACAGGGTAACACAGGTGTACTAAAGCTACCTACTTTCTAAATGACTTATTAGGATTAGACAACTAGCGGCTGATTCAAAGTAATGTAGCGCAAACGAGCCACCCAATGGATGATATTATTTTTGAAAGTAATCGAGTAGCGACACCTATTCATCGTATTGTACACTAGTGTAACACACAGTACCGTGGCAACATTGGCAAAATTGTGTGCAAAAGCCATGTCACATCGTGCTGCACCAAAGCCAATCCTTACAGTCTCAGCTTACAGTGTACAGTACAAAGTCTGCAACTTCCTCATACTGTACTCTACAACTGTAAACAACGCTCCTGCAACGCTGGCTTATAGCCTAGTCAAAATATCATTTTGCAAAGTTGTTTCAATACAAGAATGAGATGTAAATGAATTCTGTGTTTGCCTAACTCTCCATACAACAAGTATTGAATCATTCACGATGCTTATGGACGTGTAAATATCCGTAAAATAGCAATTCTAAGTTCTCTATTGCCAATACATAACTATCAACATTCAATCCCATGTGATGGGGTGCGAATCAACAGTACATGACTAAGACATCGAGACTCAGTCAACTTGATTCTACCACGCTCTCGGTACTGTTCTATACATGCACTAGCAATTCCACTCCTTTACAGTGTACAGTGTACAATTCAACCAGACAACCGTCGCTTGCACTGTAGCACTTTGGACTGTATGAATCAACCACCATTTGTTGACAATATTAGTGGAGTGGGGAGAAATTTAACTGCAAGAAAATTCATTTTTCTCATCCAAATCCATCCATCGACGCCATTTTACCTCAGTTACTGTGTTGTGGCTAGTTAGCAATCGGTATGGCTTCCATCTCGGAATGTTATAACACCAAGAATCCAGGTAAATCACCGTGTAGTAGGACGCAATAGACAATACTGTACAATACTTGATTGAAGATGAGAATAGAAACAACTCGTACAATCGCCGAGTTGGGGAGTTGTTCATGCTTTCCGTTCCATCATCATCATCATACTATCCCATAGCTGGTTAGTCCTACCTTGAAGTAAAAGTTTCTCTTTAAGAAGCAAACGTCTATGGGCTAGTACACTCTGGCTAATAACGGATTGAATTCATGATGGATCAGACTGCCATGTCTGCCAATATACAGTACATAATATCATCGGAAGTAGACGAGTATAGGCTGGACGCGTATAGCGATAGACTGCACTAATGAAGTTTGCAAAGGCTACAACATGGATCCAGTTCTTACTACCCAAATACGACGGTAGTGGACTACAGCAATACTATCCACGAAAGCGTTCAAAAGTCTCAACTTGAGCATGATGATATTGCTGAAATCTTACACAATATTTTACACTCTTAAAGGACAATCTCCTCGAACCTTATACCGTATCAAAGTCTCTTACGTTGCAATCCACCACTCAATCTTATGACTATGTCAAGATGAAAGTAATAGCGTTTCATCTGTTATACCACAACTTTTCATAAACAGTAACTGCTATGTAAATGAATACAATTGAACTTGTTAGCTCATTCTGAGATACCTCACTACAACAGAAAGACCGGAAAGAGTTTAGTATACCAACTACTATTCTATCCTCACCCAAATCCATTCTACAAGTAAAACAGAATTAAACAACAAAGGTTATTTTCGTTTTGATTCTACTAACATGAAAGGTGCTAATCACTACTACAACCACTGTCTCCTTGAAAATAAAGGCAGTACAACACTTTCACCCTAAATTACTCTTCATTTTGAAAATTAGTAGGCAACAAGTAAATCCAGTGATCATTCACCTCAAATCTTTCTAGGCATCGTAATTCGTAGAAATGGTTATTACTGTATTACGCAGACATTGGCATTTCCTGTAGGCCAACCATAGCATGATAGACGAGTATAATATTTTTATACTGTATACATCTTAAATGCCCGCTATTACTCCAATGCCCAAATATTCTTGCCTATGGCCTAGCTTAAGTGTTAGTGTGCTAAATAGCTTTCAAAAATTCCAGATTAGTACTTAAGCCATACTAGAAAACACAATTCTTGAATATCCATTTCATACATGACAATCGAATACTAACTGCTTTAATAATATTTTAACGCTTTTCGACTTATCCTAACCGATCAATGCTAAATACCAATCGAATTGGCTAATATTGTATGATATCTCAGTGTTAAAATAACCTAATGGCGCTCTGATAAACTTAAACTGTCTTTAATAAACGCCTGTTCCGCGTTTGCTTACAATGCTGACTCGTAATAGAATACTCATACGCTTCGATGCCGGTTATATTAATTTAATCCTTCCTTCTAAAATCTATGCTATAAACTATATCTTATTAATTAACGACTCGCTAATACTAGAACGACATTAATTGAAAGCTCATGCAATTTACAAACTTATGATCAACAGCGATAGCCGTTTTTCTTAGTAGCTAACCTATTCTTCCTCCAATGTTGTCAAGTTATTAATCGTATATCTAAATAATAACTACAGAAATGTACTTCAATCTTTTTTGATACGATAATCAAGGCGTGAAGCGATTAATGAGGGAAGCAATGGAATTAAGTCAGCCGACCGAAAATTATTACGCTCAGCCGTTGGAGGTATGTAGAATTCGATAAATTTGCCATCATTCCACCAAACTGGATAATAAGTACGAGCCATCATAGCCCTTACTATGTAATCTCTTTACTACCTATCAATAGTACCATACCAGTATTTAGGTGTACTAACTATGCGTCCAAACTTGCATTCAATGAACGATTTCTCGTATATAAAACAAGTAAAGTTTTACCAGTAGTTCATAAATCCTTCTAATCTCATATTATGCACATTCGAATGTACGGCGCAGGACAATCTATTCGATTGGCATTTTACTATTCGTGGACCACCTGATAGTGACTTCGATGGTGGATTCTATCATGGACGTATAACCCTGCCTACTGAATATCCAATGAAGCCGCCAAGTATCATGTTATTAACAGTATGTGTTTGCAAAGTAACACTAGTCACTATGAAAGACTTTCGTTTTCTGCCCCGTCGTCTTCTTAAAAATAAATAGCGTGATATATGAGATAAATCCACGCTATTATTGTACTGATCACAAATAGAATGTGTAATTAATCCTGATTTCATCGATGTTAATAGCCTAATGGTCGATTTGAAACTGGTAAAAAAATATGTTTAAGTACGTCCGCCCATCATCCTGAAACCTGGCGTCCTTCGTGGAGTAGTAAGTCATTGATAAATTTGTAATCACTATTTTTCTCTCTACAAAATCTTTCTTAAGTGCATAGTACATATAATTAAATATTGATAAAGCTCTTCCGTCAATAATTCTTAAACTGAGTCAATTATTGTAATCCGTTGACTTGCTCGTAACTGTTTTTGGCCCAGCGATAACACTACAGCATAGAGTAAGCCATCCTATCATTAATTATCTGCAGTTCGCACCGTCCTTGTAGCTTTGATTGGCTTCATGCCTAGTCCGGGTAATGGCGCTATTGGAGCTTTGGATTACACGAAGGAAGAACGACAAATATTTGCCAAGAGGTATGATCTTATGCCTTACTGTGGCGTTAATAATTTATTAAATATAACATCAATAACGCGTATAAACGGGATATTACATCACCGATAATAGCCGATTTGGGCTTTTACCGTAACGCTATCGTGTATACTAACGATATCTTATTTCTTAATTTACGACAAGATCCCTTGAATGGCCTTGTGATGTTTGCAAAGTCGACTTTAAATCTTTTCTCTTAAATGGTAATACATAACTAGCTGCGGTTTTATGTTATTAGTAATATGCAAAAACTGATCGTTTATTCATATGAAGCAATTCCTAGTTTTGATCTAAATTTTAAATTTAACAAACTCTTCCTTCAATAGTTGATCCTAATCATTCGAAAGAATGTAAAGAAACTATCGAATTAGCTAAGCAAATCTCTTTTAAGGTACAACTTGAATATTAATTAATAATTAACAATGTTTTTCAACTACGACACAGACGATCGATCAGCAAATGATTGTTGGCTATAAATTGAGATCAAAGGATTTATCAAATAATAAAATTTAAACATTTTTTCTGTACATTACATTAATTCGCACATGTTAACTGAAGAAAGTTTCAATAAATTTTATTCCTTCGCTATAAGCCTGCATGTTGAAGCAGAATACTTCCACTAAAATATAAAACAAAGGATCAAATTTTGTTCTATAGAAAGAGTAAAGCGTAATCTCTACATCATGTTTCATTTAAGAATCTTTATACCGTAGTCAGCTGCCAACATCATCGATACAGTTTTTAGATCATATAGCTCTCGCTAGTGTATGACTTAAAGCATATATGCTATGATGACTGTTGTATAAAATTGAACCGTGGAATGTATGTATTTGGTTATTTATAATACCAGCAAACTGTCATTTATTTCGAGATTGAAAATGGGATTGTTTTCAAAATTCTTTCACTGTTATCACTTTAGGGTGAATCTGATAAAGACACTGCTTCTTCAACGTCGAAAGAAACCCCAGCAGGAGATATTGCCACCAACAGATCTACTCCTACGGATTATCAACGTAGCGAATTACACTCAAGGCAAAGTGCAACGCCTGGTGAAACTAGAATGAGTCAAGTTAATGATAATAATAGAAATGCAGATAATAGTATCAATAACAACACCCATCCACAAGTTAGCTCATCAAGACAAACCACAATTCCTTCTCAGCAATTACGGCAAAGTTCATCTAGTAGCTTGGCTTTTGCGCAATGGCTTCTAGTAGCAGTAATCGCAATACTGATAGCTAGAAGAATTTTAAATTCTAACTCGATAGATCTTTAGTGCACTTCAGCATTGACAAAATGGACTATTTCAATGTACCTGAAAATATTAATATATGTATATTGCAAATCTATGTGAAGTTCTTAGCGAGTAATCAAGTGCATGCTTGGTTCTCATAACATCATATTATATGCAAGGTTATTCTTGCTTTTATTAAACTGTATGATCAGTAATACAGTGGGAATTCCTCTTTGTACGTACAGTATCGGTAACTCGACCAAAAGTATATGATATCTCTACTTAATTACATTATCACTATCATGATCAGAGTTACGCCCGTTTTTCCATAAAATTTTACTAACATATACAAATATAGTTTTATGCCTGTATCACATTCAAAAATAAGGCTAAATGTACTGCAGATCTTTTGATTTGAAGCTGTAATATCTGGTTTAAAATATTACAACGAATTATAATATTCTGCATTTAAAATCTGTATTTTCCTAGT